GGATGGCAAATGGAGACAAAATTTCTTCTTATAGCAGCATCTATTTTGATAGTGAATAGAGAGAGAGATGGATCTTGTCAGAAAAACCTCTTTTTTTGTCACATTTAGCTTTAATGTGGCTAAGTAAAAAGAATTGAAAATAGCAGCTTCATATGAACTGAGTACACTTCTGTTCTATTTTACCCACCCTCAACTTTTAAACATGGTCACTGTTACCAGCTTTACCCCATACACACTTATTTTAACCTCCCCCCCCCAAAGATTTACCTTATGAGATGCAGACAGCCTATTGACCCATTTGAAAGGCTACAAAAAGTCTATCCGCTTTTTGTAGCCTTTCTAACGGTCAATTTGCTGTCTGCATCTCATAAGGCAAATCTCTGGGGAGCTGTAAGAAACTTTATTTTCTGCTTCCAGTTGAGTGGAAGGGGAAAAAAACCCCTGTGCTTATACCATTAATGAAATAGATTGGTAACTCTCCGGAGATGCTACTGGACTGAAAAGTTATCTAATTGAGACGCTATCCAACCAACCAAGCAGATGACCATAAATGAAACCAAGATAGCGAATTAAGTAGTAGTATCACATAAACCAAATCGTGTGGGATGCACATATGTATGATTCAGCTCCTAAACCAAGTCAAGCAATATAGTTACTGAAAGCTAAATGAAGACTTTTTGATTCTCAAAATTATTTATGGGATATACATTGTAATACACCTATGCAAGCTTATTTGGAGATTTAGACTACCGTTCTATACACTGGGACCTCAGGCAATATCACGCTTCAATATCTTTTTTTTTTTTTTTTTACGTTGGTCTCTGGAGCCTAATTTTAAACAAGCTTATGGTAAATCAATAGTGCAATTTCTTGCCAGTTTGTGGTAGGAAACACATAAAAACCAAAATCTAAGTCGTATATGAGACTCAGCACATTTTTTTGTACATCATGTCTTCTTGCATATCCACAGTTCTTATGATACAGTATAACAAAATGTTTCAAGGGCCTGGAAGTCAGCATTTATTTTATTTTTTTTAAGAATAGTAAAATCCAATATCTTTGCTACCTCTTGCTGAAGACTTTGATGTATTCTTGAAAAAGGTTGCTTTTCAGAGTGTGATGGGTGGCATATAAATTTAATAAATAAAGTTTCCAATATGCTTGTAGTTGCTTATTATACATTTTATTATCCCCTGAGTTTAACTCTTATTATATTTCCTAGTGCAGGGGTATGCAACCCAAAACACTCAAAGAGCCACTTGGACCCGTTTCCCACCAAAAATAAAACACCGGGAGCTGCAAAACCCTTTTGATATCTAAAATGAAGATAACACTGCATATATCCTTTTTTACCTTTATTATAGGTGTGTGTGTGTGTTTGTGTGTGTGTGTGTGTGTATGTATGTATGTGTATGTATATGTATATGTATATGTGTATATATATATATATATATATATAATATGTATATATGTATATGTATGTATTTGTTTTCTGAGGTTTTCGCGGGTATTTGTATGTAGGTCTTTGGTTAACTGGCAGTTAAAAGGAAGAAACAGCCAAGACCACACACTGCTGCTCGAGGCACGAAGCTGAAAGCACCAGCCTGAAGATGACGAATGGGACTTCGTCGAAACGTCGCCAAGACACTTCCAATTTTACGTGGGAGAAAACCCGAACAACCAAAGACCTACATATATATGTATGTATATACACACATACATACATACACACACAAACACACACACACACACACACACACACACAGGTAAAAAAAGGATATATGCAGTGTTATCTTCATTTTAGATGTCAAAAGGGTCTCTCTCTCTCTGTCTCTCTCTCTCCCTCCCTCTCTATCTGCCCTTGGTCTGCCACTCCTCTTCCCCCACTCTCTTTCTTTCTCTCTCTCTTTCCTCTCTCTCTCTCTCTCTCTCTCCCCCTCCCTCTCTCTCTCTCTCTCTTTCTCCCCCCCCCTCCTATCTGCTGCTCACCTGGCAAGTTTCAAGCTGTTGTCCACAAACTCAGGAGTAGGCAATCTCATCTCTTTTATGACTCATGGACTTCAACTCCCAGAATTCCTGAGTCAGCCACAAACACACACACACACACACACACACACACACACACAGAGAGAGAGAGAGAGAGAGAGAGAGAAAGAGAGAAGCAGGGACGCGCAATTGCCTCTCTCTGTCTCTGTCTCTCTCTGCAGAGGCAGAGGAGGCTGGGAGCCACAAGGGAAGACTCAAAGAGCCGCATGCGGCTCCGGAGCCGTAGGTTGCAGACCTGTGTCCTAGTGGCTGAAATAGATGACACTTTTTAAAAAAACCCTACTGATGATTAACAATGAGAGCAATGAGAAGAAACAGTGACCTTAACAAATACTTTTCTTGAAGTCGCAGTTTCTTTTCATTGAGCTAATGCATTTCACAATCTATATTTTTCACTGGTATCGCTAAACTCTTTCTTTAAGGTTATTCTTTTATCACCATGTATTAGGGGCATTTAGAACTTGATATTTTGACCCACAGCAATGCTGTGCTTCTTCCAGGTAGCTCATTCACCACCCAAAAGCAATTCTAATGACTTGGACATTGTAGCACATGCACATAACCTACCTTGAGTGCATGTTAGCTGGTTCATTCCTTACTGTGGAATCAACTATAGCAGAGTTGTTTGCTTTGATCACATGGAAAAGGCTGAATATATTGGAAATCAGCTGAACCTGGTAAAGTTCTCGTAGATCTGTTTGGATCCAGCAGCAAAAGTCTCCTGATGTTCTTTCCTGCCCCCTAGATCAGAGATCCCCAAACTTTTTGGCACCAGGGACCGGTTCCATGGAGAAAGGTTTTTCCATGGACCAGAGAGTGTGTGGTTTTGTGTGGTGCCTACATCCCATGGATGGGGCTTTTCTTGTTTGTGTGGCCCAGTTGCTGGCATGCCGTGGCCCAGTACTGGTCCACAGATCAGCGGTTGGGGATCCCTGCCCTAGATGGATCATCTTTCAAATTATTCTTTAGCATTTTTGTTTTAAGAGGAAGGGATTCAGATCTGAATGCTCAAATGTATGGAATTTGTTCATGTGCCTTTGGCATAAAAGCCACAAAATGCACATTTTAATAACAAATAAAAATTCATAGAAAAGTTAGACTAGTTATGACTTTACCTAAAGCTACATTATTGTCAAAGTCTTTTTTGTGATCTTTCCTAAAAGATTCAATGGATGTTGCTTCAAACGGTATTTTATGAATATGCGTCACACTCATACAATATTCCCAAAATGGAATGGACATTGCTGAACTTATATATTGTTGATACCCTATTGATTTTTATTTTTGTATTTGTGTCAGAAGCACCTACAAATTATAGCTATACATCATTCAACACTGAGCGAATAAAACAGGTATAAAATAGGTCACAGAAACATAGCATGTGTAAAAATATATAGAATAAATAGGATTAAAACTAGCTGACATTTTACCAATATTGGGCCATGTCGACAGCATTTGGGGCAAACCATCCTGCTCCATTTTGGATGCTGAATGGAACACAGTGTGCAACACAACCACCGACCACTAAACTATGCATGCAACTATAATTATTGTAAATATGTATGTAACTGAACAATACAAACAGTATAGCTTCATATTAATCTCCAAAGCCTGCTTCAAATCATTTATTAATGAAGCAATCCCTTTGGTCTGAGTTTATAATCTGGATTAAAGCCATCAAGAAAGAGTTCTGTGTCTTAGCTACCACAGCTGCATCAGTCTTAGTCATTGGAAAGGTTCTCAGATCAATTACCAAATATTTTAACTATTTTATGGTTTTATATTTGTACTTCTAAGCCACCCAAAGGATATGAGAATGGGCAGCTATAATCAATTTAAAATAATAATACAAATAATCTACTTTGCCTTTGCCAGAGTTTTGGATTTGAATGTAGTAAACATTCAAAGGGAACTATCAAGTTGAGAAAGTTTTCGAAAATGAGTGGGTTAAGTTCTTAGGGAACTTTCAGATCCAAGTAAGCATATTGTTCATAACATGCCAGATATAACAGTTATCAAAAAGAAAGAAAGTCTGGTTCATTGATGTTGCTATTTTGGGTGATATTAGGATTGAGTAAAAGCAATTGAAAAAAATGAAATATCAGGATTTGCTGATTAAAGTTGAACACTTATAGAAAAGGAAATCCATTACAATACCTATCATGACGAGAGCCCCCTGGAATGATACCAAAAAGACTTCCTCAATATCTGGAAATATTGAATTTTTCAGACCTGAAGATCCCAATTTTACAAAAAGATCTGCTTTGAACTGCCCATAATCTTAGACACTACCTTAACAATTCTTAGGTTCTAAATAAATTATTAAGTTTCCACCAGTCTTAGACTGTGAATCTAACTGTAGATTACCCACACATCATAAACCAAAATGAGTAATTTTTCCTCTCTTCTTTTGACAACTCAATGAAATCTATTTGAATATTATCCCCATAAATCAGGAACCATATGGTAAGGCTTAATGCGGGACACAAAAAGCCTTAGAATGTTACCACAATTGGTTACCACACCCTTAATATTTGTTGGAATGACAAAACCAGGCCAGTATTGAAGGAAACTACACTTCCTTACCTATCCTTACCTTCGCAATGATGGAAATGTAGATATTGCAATATTGTCTTAATTGCTGTTTGTCTTTTGTTGTTATTTTAAATTCTCACATGTATATCCCTCAATACATTCTTTGTAAATATAGTTCATTTAAATTTTATATATTATTACTTAATTGATATTGTTTTGCATACTTTTACTTTGTTGCAATTTTAGAAGTTATCATATTTAATATAATTTTAGTTGTTTACATTCTAATTTAATTTAGATCAATTGATCTAAGATTCCCATGGACATTTATTCTCTCTGTTTTCAGCAGCCCTGTTACCATCACTATTAAAGATGCCTTGAGACCCTGCTAGAAACACTTATCCGATGAGTCTACTTACCTGTCCAACTCTAACTTTCATTGATTAATCACTTCCTGTTATGATGCGTAACTGAATCAATCTTCATCTGTCAAACCAGCCTGCACAAAACCAGCACATAAATTCATTTTAAAGCTTGAAACAGACGAAAAACAACAAATGACTACAATGACACAATTAAAAATGGGCTCAGTTTAGAGCATTTCACTTGATGATTATAGACATAAACTTGTCCGAGGATGATAAATATAAATCTGCAGGAATACCATCATATCCCCAAATAAGATAGAATACTAAAAAAAAAAAAAATGAGAAAGTTTAGAGAATTAGGGGTGGAGAGGCCACTTAATGATTGTCATTAAACTAAAGATTAGCTAATGTAGTATTGATGTCTCACTAATAGAAATCAAATTAAATTGTAGTGTGCAAGTGTCTTTGATTAATTAATGTTTTTAGTGACGTTGCTTTAACATAAATTTTCTTTAATGCTACAGAATGCAACCATTTATCAGTACAATGGCTCTATCATTTCTTTTAGCAGATTAAGCAGTATCTGAACACAAGGTAGCCAAGCTTACATGCAATTCCAAATGCAGGCAGAGCTTTCTTTTTCTCAGAAAACCAACAAATTATTCCTCCTAATAATACACATTTACATGTGTATCGCATTAGAAATCAGCTTCTTCCCCCACCCACAAATTCACAAAATGTAAAATAGATGCTTCTTAATAATATTCTTCAACTCTTTTTTAAAGCACAAATTGCTCTGTAGCTTTGGCCATTAGTGGCTAAATTGGAACATATTTGCAAATGGGAAATGTCTGTCCTAATCTCCTGAAAGGAATATTCCTGTACTTTCAAATCTGACATTGACATTCCTGGAGCCAGTTCTATTTAGAATATTCACGTACGGTACTTTACAGTCACAAAGCAGTTAACAAAGCAGTACTGCAGCAGAATATAGAATTATTTCTATAATTTAGAAATCAGCATTGAGGAATGAATAGAGGAAGGGAGGGAGAGTTGCCCATAAGTAATACACAACAACAACAAAAAATCTCTGTACAGAAGAGTTACAAAAAATCCAACACAGTCCTAGTTTGCATTAACAGAGGGATAGAATCAAGATCAGGTGAAGAGTTAGTACTATTTTATAATGCCTTGGTTAGAGCACACTTGAAATATTGCATCCAATTTTGGTTGCCATAATATAAAAAAGATATTGAGACTCTAGAAAGAGTGCAGAGAAGAGCAAAAAAATGATTAAGGGACTAGGGGATAAAAAAAAAAGAACGGCTGCAGGAATTGGGCATGGCTAGTGAAAAGAAGGACTAGGGGTGACAGGATAGGAGTGTTCCAGTATCTAACGGACTGCCACAAAGAAGAGGGGTCAACATATTCTCCAAAGCATTTGAAGGCAGGACAACAAGCAATGGGTGGAAACCCATCAAAGAGAGAACCAAACTAGAACTAAGGAGAAATTTCCTGACAGGTAGAACAATTAATCAGTGGAAAGACTTGCCTTCAGATGTTGTGAGTGCTTCAACACACGAGGTTTTAAGAAGAGATTGGACAACAATTTGTCTGAAATGTTATAGGGTTTCCTGTTTGAGCAGAGGCTGGACTAGAAGACCTCCAAGGTCCCTTCCAATTCTTTTATTCTGTGAAAATCTGTGGTGCTTTTGCAGCCATCACTTTCAATCTAGTTCTCTGCAGACATTTTCAGTTTCAATTTTCAATGTTGGATTTCTGGACTATTTTTTTTGCATGAGGACCTGCAGGGGTGGGATTCAGCCAGTTCGCAGCAGTTTGGCAGAACCGATACTTAATTTTTTGTTGAGTTCGGTGAACCGGTTATAATAAATCTTGTGCAAGCCTCCTCTGCTGCCTCCCTTCGCCAGCCCTGGTATCCCTCCACCAGCCCTCCATCACTGCCACCACACTTTCTTGCACACACTTTCTTGCTGCTCTGCATTGGCCAGCATCTCCCTTCTCTGTTCTGGAAATGGCAGCCCCATTTTCTGCTGCTTTCCTCCTGGCAGAAGGAAGGAGGAAAGGAAGGACACTTCATATGGAAGGATGGTAAGCTCCAGGAAAACTACTCCAGTTCGAGCTGGGCGAAGAAGGCCAGGTTTCCCTTCCCTGATGGTTCTGCGAAGCCCTTAAGAAGCGAATCTGTTTCCCCCAGGCTTAGCCTCGGCACCTGCTTCAGAGGACAAACAGAAGAGCTTTGCTCTTTTTCTCCAGGAGGCCCTTTGAAATTGTCCCCCCCCCTCGCTCTTCTGCCCTAAAATCCAGAGAAGACACATTTTCCTCCTGATCAGCTGAGGATACAGTAGCTACCAGTATGATTTTCGTAAGAAGCCGAGTGTCTGCTCTGGATTTTAAGGCAGAAAAGCGAAGGGCTAGGCGGCAATTTCAAAGGGCCTGGAGGAAAAGAGCAAAGCTCTTCTGTTTGCCATCTGAAGCGGGTACTGAGGCTAAACCTGAGGGAAACAGATCCACTCCTCAAGGGCTTTGCGAAACCATTGGGAAAGAGGAGCCTGGCCTTCCTCGCCCAGCTCCAGCTGGAATAGTTTTCTTGGAGCTTAGCATCCTTCCATACAAAGCCTCCTTCTTTCCTCCTTCCTTCTGTCGGGAGGAAAGCAGCAGACAACGGGGCTGCCATTTCCAGAACGGAGAAGGGAAATGCTGGCCAATGCAAGGCAGCAAGAAAGTGCAGATCAGCAGAAGGAAGGAAGGAAGACTTAAGGACACCCAGAGAGGCAAGGGAAGTTACCATAAGCTGCCTTTCTCCCTTTCTCTCTTTCTTGGCTGGGAAGAAGGCAGCCCACACAGTCTGCTGCTTGGTGCAAGCAGGTATGCTGTGGCAGCAATGGAGGGCTGGCAGAAGGATACCAGGGCTGGTGGAAGGAGCCAGCAGGGGAGGATTGTACCCCCCCCCCAGTCACAGCGCAAGCCATTGGAGAGTTGGAGGAGAAGGAGACAGCAGCTGCCACCGGGCAGGTGATCTATGGGGTGAAGCGGGGTCGGCAGGGTTGGTGAGGACTGGAGAAAGCCTCTCCAGTGGCAGATGAAGCTGTTGCACTATGGTGGCACAGCCTTTCACCATCACTTCCCCGTCTCCAAAAAGGTAGAGGGGATTGGATAAAGTCTATCCTCCATAGCAGGTGGGGAGTGAAATGGAAGAGGCGAGCAGGCAGCCAGGCAGAGGTCACTGAGAAGGAAGTGGCCTGGGTACGGGGCCCCTGAAGTAAGCAGATGTGGGATGTGTGGGGCACCTACCCCCTGCCCTAGTTTTTACTCATGCACCTCTTAAAGGGTTCTGGGATTTCAGAGAGAACTGGTTGTTGAATTATTTGAATCCACCACTGCCTTGTAGTATCTATTTTCTTCTCTAGCAATTACCTTTGGCTACCCTTTCATTCTCCAGACTTACTCTGACTGTTCTTTTTAACTCTATATTGCTTACTGAACTTTGCAGTTTCCCTTTCAAGCTTTTGAAGTAGAATAAGAGGGTCAAGTTAAAAATGTAGTAGGTGTACATACCAATATCAAAACAGAGATATCAAAATTCATCACAATGTTTTCTGCTTGCAATTACTTTACAAGTTATTCTTTCTTGACCCTAGTTTATTCACACAAACCATGATATAGAATTCTTCAGATTTTTTTCCAAACTGCCAGTCTCTCTTGTGTCTCACAGAAATGGCTGGCATTGATTGAATTTCTTGAATCAAGATTATCTTTCCTTTGAAGTAGCAAGAATGCACGCATGCATACGTGAAATATAAACAGTTTGGTTTAATGGTTAAGGTACTAGGCTAGAAAGCAAGAAACTGTGAATTCAAGTCCCACCTTAACCATGAAAGCCAGCTGGGTAGTCAATCTATCTCAGCCGAACCCACTTCACAGGGAGGTTGTGAGGAAAATAGGAGAAGGAAGTTGTGTTGGATATGTTCGCTGTCTTGAGTTATTTGTTAAAAATAATAAGGGTGGAATAACAGAATAACAGAATTGGAAGGTCTTCTGGTCCAACCCTCTGCTCAAGTAGAAAACAATATACAAATACATAAAATAAATAAACAAATAAATAAAGTATAGCACTTCTTACTGTACTCTGAATAGGAAACTTTACTATTTGTATGGGTTACACTTATCTTTGTGACAGTGTATTTCAGCGGTTCTCAACCTTTTTATACGGCGACCCCCGGTCACACGGACGTGCCGTGCATGCGTACCGCGCCGCGCATGCGTGGCAGCGCCCATGCACACCGTGCATGCGTGGTGGCGCCCCATGCGCAGCACGCATGCGCGGCGGTACCCCATGTGCGGCACACATGCGTGGTAGTGCCCATGTGCGCTATGCATGTGCGGTGGCGCCCCCATGCGCGGCATGTATGCGGCCACCGCGCATGCGCGGAAAAATGGCAGATCGCGTTGTTTGGCGACCCCTGTAAAATGGTCGTTCGACCCCAAATGGGGTCGCGACCCATAGGTTGAGAACCGCTAGTGTATTTGAACAGGTACTAAAGGATGTGTTATTTCATCAGTTATAGGTTGGACTTCAATGCACTTTCCTTAATGGACAGTCAATGTAGAGAAACCCTATAAAATAATTCATCTCAAAATACATAAACTAGGGCTACCAAATCTATGAAGACCACTAGAGAGCAGAACACAGTTAAATTTCTAAATCTTTTTTTCCCCATCATCCAGTGGGTTGCCTAGGACTCTACAACCCAGATATGGAAGTGAGGTCAAAAACACGTTATTATCTAGCTGAGACAAAAGACAGACCTTGTCCACCAGAAAAGTCTTGACAAAACAAAGGAAGAGGGATACTCTAGCACAGCGGCTCCCAACCTTTTCTATACCCTGCACCCCTAGAACACTTCTGATATATTCTCGCACCCCTTAAAAAAGTTCAAAATGACGGCAACTAATTATGCATATACATTATGATTTTGAAAACCCAAGTTTTTGCACCTCCTGAAATATCATCTCGCAACCCCAGGGAAAAGGAGGAAGAGGAGGAGGAAGAGGAAGATGAGGCACAATTGGGAAGCACAGCCATGTGGACCTTCAATACTGCTCTAGC